GAGAAGACCAGGAAGTGATGGATACACGGATCGTGTTCAAATCAATAGGCACGCAATGACTCTAAATAATAATGATCACGCCACCAAACACACATTCAGACTAAAGGAACCAGCCTGTTTGGAAAATGAGAGAAGTAGAAAGTACAGGTATTTGTGTTCAACATGTAAGAAGTAGAAAGTACAGGTATTTGAGTTCAACATGTAAGAAGTAGAAAGTACAGGTATTTGTGTTCAACATGTAAGAAGTAGAAAGTACAGGTATTTGTGTTCAACATGTAAGAAGTCAAAGTAAAAAGTGGTCAGAAAAATAAGTAGTGGAGTAAAGTACTGATACCAGAAACACGTGTTTAAGTAAAGTAACAAAGTATTTGTACTCCACTACTTCCCACCTCTGTATACAACAAATAGAAGATCATCAGCTCACCTCCAGCGTTGGTGATGGTGACAGGAACTCCCTGCACCTGGACGCCATTGATGCTGATCGTCTGCACGGCCTGCGTCGCTGAAGTCAGCTGAGACGTGCTTAACGAAATCATTCCCCCCGCAGGAGCGATTTTAGCCAGAGTTCGTTCCTTCTTCCCGCCCTGAAGCGTCCTCTTGATGCTGGCCTGCGGCGGGGAGTTGGTGACGACCGTAGTGTTTTGGGTCGATGAGGTGGAGACCGAGTCCTGGAGCTGAACCGTCTGCCACTCACCTGATGCTGTTTTGAAGAGGAACTGACGGAGAAAAAAAAAAAAAAAGAGTTTTATTTATTTACTGGATTCCACATAGCAGTTTGTGCTTTACACCACTGTGTGTCTTTTACTCGGGGAAAACATGCAACCATGTGCAACCGAAAGAAGGTAGCGGTTCATTTGTTTGCTCATATTTTAAGGAAGAATAGGCCACAATTAAGCATTGACAAAATGTAACAAAAATAATCCATAAAACAAGTGGATAGTGATTTGAAAAGGAGACATTTAATTACATACAATTAAAAATGGGGAGGCTTAAATAAAAATCGATGGAAGAAGGACTTTTCATCTTAATATGTATAATCTTTGTCAAAAAAACTTTCCATTTCAACATTTTTATCCTGGTCTTTCTCCGTTCCCATTTGAAAAAACCTAAAAATGTACCATCATGCAGTGATACAGCCAGGATGTACCTGATTAGGTTGTTTTCAAGTGAATGGCCATTGTTTTAAACAGCTGTTCTTCTGTTTCAGTGTATATGTATCTACTGTGACTTAGTAAGGCAGAAAACCATGGCCGGGTTTGTCCATACAAGAAACGTTCAATCTCACTTGGGAGTTCCTGGTCAAATAAATGAAAAATGTAAAGCAACTTAGCTTCAACACTGCTATGTTGGTGATATAATCCAGTGTTAATTTCGTCAACGAAAACTATGACGAAAAATATTCGTCAACGACCTTTTTTACACAACTAAGACGAGGACGAGCTAAAAATAGATTCTTGATAACGAAAACTATGACGAAATGTATATTTAGTTTTCGTTGACGAGACGGGACTAAGGTGTTAATGGTGAACTATCGGACATTCAAAATGCAGGATATTTTCCCCCAATTGTCCGTCTTGTCTGTCAAAATGCATCTTACGTTTCTAACTTGCAATATCATTATGTCCGCTCTCTTCACTCCAGAAGAGCGATCTCCCTGTGTCTCTCTGTGTGCGGGGGGCGGGGCCTAACAGACATGCTGCAGCGGACACAGAGATCTGCCGGGGACGGAGCGTTCAGAGAGTATAGAGACACATTTTGACTAAAATGTAATTTTTCATCGACTAAAACTAAACTAAAACGTTTTGAGTTTTCGTCGACTAGACTAAAACTACGAAGGATAGGAATGACTAAAATGTGACTAACTAATAACCATTTTCGTCTAAAGACTAAATCAAAAACAGCTGCCAAAATTAACACTGATATAATCAGTACCATGTAGTCACATTTAGTAGAAATTCTAAGCAGCTTTGAATGTATCAAGGTCTAACTGGGTAACGGGCGTACTCCCTCCAACCAAAATGCCAATTTCCCCCGTGAAATTTTAAAGTGATGCCAGAAAACAATATTTCTGTTCGTCAAAACTGCATTATTACTCCAGAAATAGGAAAATCGTGTCAAATAGACGCTCAGACAGCGTTGTTTTTACGGAGCCCTGAATAAATAGAAAGTGACGTTAGCCTCCTTATACTATATTTTTCTAGAAAAAAACCCTGGTTACCTGTGTTGGCGTTGGCTCTGATTGGGTGACCTGCAGGCTCGAGGGGGCTGAGTGTCTCTGAGGGATTGTGGGTAATGTGGCGGATGCGGCCTGCACCACCTTCAGAGCCTGCTGGGGGATCTGAACCACCTGAGACTCCGGTTTGGACTGAACCAGCTGGACCTGCTGCACCATGGCCGGCTGACCAGGACTCTGGACGATCAGGAGGTTGTTTCCCGCCTGGAAATACAGAGAGGTTAGTCCGGGAGGCTTTTAGCCAATGGAGCGGCGGGGCCATCATCCCTAACCACCAACTGAAGGGGAAAACATTCAGTGTGTTTGGATCAAGGCTGCAGATTTATCAAAGGGATGTTGGGATGGAGTCATGACTGGAATAGTTCAGTTATGGCATCTCTGCCACCAGTAAACCACTTTTAATCACGTGTTTTGGAGGTCTGAACAAGCTGTAAATAAACGGGTGTTAATGTCATAATAGAAGCATTTACATTTTATATTCACTTTTCTCCTTCTAGCTTTGTTTTTCCCAATTCAAGAGGATAATCTCCAAGTCTTTAGTGGCTTAATATTCCGTTAACTTCACATTGCATACAGTGGGTTTCTTTTGGGCTAACGCAGCTGGGAACGATGCTTTTCAGGGCGGAGAGTTTTAACCAAAATAGTTGTACATTAGTTGCCATGGTAAAGATGCAAAGAAAGTTATTGTGTATTATAACTTTAATCCTATTTTTCTTCCAACAGTTAAATCGAGTTATGTTTGGTCAATTTGTTGATTTGCTAATTAACAGAAAATGTACAATAATGATATAATAATAAAAGGAAATGTGTTACATCAGTTATTTTGTTTCATATCATCGTATAATGCACATTTGTGTTAAAGGCTTTTCTGGACCAAAAAATGATTATTCTAAACTCAGGGTTCACTCACTGGCTTTTCCCCACATTTTCAATGAAATCTCACAGACCTATTCAGTCCATTAGCTCAACCAACATTTAAATATTGGCTAAATACACAAATACACATCCTCTCCCAGGCGAGTGAACCTGGAGTTAACCATATGCTATCAAAGACACTGTTTGTGTTTCGTTAAGAGCTTCTCTGCCACATGTACCTGGATGATGTTGTCTCCAGCTTCGATCAGAATGGTCTCCATCTCTGATGTTGGAGAGGGAGACTGAGCAGGAGGCGGAGCATAAGCATTCAGAACTATCTTCTTCTTCCTGCCTCTTCTCCCCTTCGCTGGAGCAGCTGCTGTCTCCGTGATGAACTGAGTCCCGCCCATCTCTCCCGTCGCCACGTTGAGCGGCAGCGTGATCCCGCCGTGCAGCTGCACCACGTGGGAGTTGTTTGATTTACGCGATCTGGGGGAGGGTTTGATAGCTAAACTCTTCTGTGGTGTGATGGGAGTGTTGGCAGCGTTTTGGGAAGGTACCGTCATGGGAGTGGTGATAATGGCCTGGTTTGTGCCCGGTATGAGTTGGATCTGACCTCCTTGTGGCATCATCTGGATGGTCTGAGCCCCTTGGATCTGAGGCATCATCTGGTACTGGATGTTGGCGGGTGCAGAGTTGTTACTTCGGGCCGGGCTCTGCTGGATTGTGAGCACGATGGGGCTGCCGGGCGCTGAGGAGCCCAGGCCGGCAGGAAGCTGGATCACATTGCCCTTGGCTGAGAGGAAGCCCAGGTTTTTGGGAGGGGCGGGGGCGATGGGAGCAGGCTTTATGGGGAGGAGGCGGCGAGGCTGAGGCTGAGCTGGAGGAGAGGTGACGGGAGCCTGAGCAGCAGGAGGGCCGATTTTACTACAGGTGGCGGCAAGGAGGGCGAGAGGAGAGGGCTGGTGGTCCTGCAGGGAGACAAACATCCAGTCAGACATAACACACACAGCAAGCAGTGAAACCAGCATGATTAGACACTTACAGAGAGATAAGGGGAGATAAGGGGCTAAAAGAATCCCCTACAGCGCTTTGGGAAAGAACGATCTGTTGATGCCTTAAAAATAAACCAAAAACACCTCCATCTTGTTTTGGTTTTACTGAATGATCTTTGCATTGAAATGATTAACCTTAAACTTGTTATATATAAGAAAACAACTAATATTATATAATTTACGATAATCAAAAGCTCAGATTATATTTCAGTCTCACTGCCATATGCACTAAAAACAGCTTGAGAAGTAACAGAGAGATAAGGGGAGATAAGAAGCTCAAAGAATCTCCTACAGCACTTTGGGAAAGAACTTTGTTGATGCTTTTAAATCCTCAATTTGATCTTTCCTAATATCACCAGCCGGGTACACAAAACCCTCTTGTTATTACACAGCCTTAAATAATATACTCTACTTATTTTCAATAT